GGTGGTGGTGGTGGTGGTGGTGGTGGTGTTTTTACAATACCAGAAATAAAACTCGGGACCTTAAGCTTGCCAAGCAGGCGCTTATGCCATTGAGCTATCTCTCCAGCCCCTAGAAGTCCTATAAATAGAATCTATCAATTGATTCTTTGTTCAATGGCTTCTGTTCCCAAGAAATTAAAGAGACTGGTATGAAAAATAAATGTATTAAATGCCATAGAGTACAATAGGTACTAATATTATAACAAGATAATTTAAAATTTAGATTGTGAAAATCTGTGATGTTTTAGAAGTGGTGAAACATTCAGGAAATTGTGATGCATGTAGAAGATTGTAAGAATAGTAAGTTTGTGAATTTATTTTTCAGTGGTAAGATAGCATTCAAGGAAATAAAATGTTTGAAGTTCTATTTTGAAGCATAACTTTGATATAGATTGCCATGGGAGAAAAATAATACTATAAAGGCAGAGTGACCAGCTGAGGCTGTGACCAGAATAATGTTAAAAGTTCATGCTTTGGGCCAGCCAGATACCTCAGCGGACTAAAGTGCCTTCTTAGGCAGAGTGCAGTGGCCTGGATTTGATCCCCAGGGTGCTGTGCCGGCCCTGCCCCTGAGACAGCAACTGAGACTGGACGTGGTGGTGCACACCTGTAATCCCAGCTCTTGGGAAGCTGAAAACAGGAGGATCACTACGAATCCAATCTGTGTAGTGAGACCCTGTAGACCCTGTCTGAAATATAGGAAGAAAAAAAAAGTTCATGCTTTGAGTTCTTCGTGTCAAATATGAAATAAACAAGACATAGAAAACTACACTAGCCAGTCTGAAAACCAAGATTAGCTTCTCTGAAGGCCAGCTAAAGAATACAACTACCAGATAGTAACACTGATTGTAAGAGTCAGGATGTCTGGATTAGGCCTTAAAGTGAAAATCCTGATTTGATTTCTTTAAGTATGGGCTCTGGGAAAGGTTCCTAAAGTGGAACTATTAAATCAGTAGTTTGAATCAGCACCTTTGTAGGTTTCCTTTCTTTAATTCTTTTTATGCACATCTTTTTGGCTCCTCTCCCCCAACTAATCTTTAGGTTTGCCAATAAAAATTAAGACTTAGTTGTTAAATGTAACATGCAGCCTCCTTATAAGAACATAGGTTTGGGTGCTGTACTAGGTCATTTATTTTTTTCTTCACTTGGGACTATCTAATTTTGATTATTCTCAAAGTAAGCAATGATAGGGGCTAGGAAGATGGCTCGGTGGAATAAGTGCTTCTCTGGTGAGCACAAGGGCCTGAGTTCAATCCCTGGTTCTGCAAAAAAAATAAATAAAGTTTTTTTAAAAACGTAAGCAATGATAAATAAGGTTATAATAAAATATAAATGTAAATGAAATCCATATAGTTGTGATTAATTTTTATTTTCTCTAACCTAGGTTGTAGGTAGTATGGATGCCCACCCAAGCAGATACTGTGCCACAGTCAGAGTTCAGAGACCTCGACAGGAGATCATACAAGATTTGGCCTCCATGGTCCGGGAACTTCTCATTCAATTTTATAAGTCAACTCGGTTCAAACCTACTCGTATCATCTTTTATCGGGATGGTGTTTCAGAGGGACAGTTTAGACAGGTCAGTTGCCTGAAATCTCCTCAGATAATGGCTAAATCAGAAACTTTGTTTATGATATATCTCATTGCAAGTTGAAAGCCTTGAGAATTCCTAAAGTCAAATTTACTTTTGGCCAGAGTAGTAGTATGTATGTGTAATGCAACCCTGGGAGGAAGAAGCGGGAAGATTGCAGGTGTACACCCAACCTGGGCAAACTAGCAAAACACTGTTTCAAAATAAAAGACAAAAAGAGCTGGGAGTCGAGAGTAGTGGTGCACACCTGTTATCCCAGCACTTAGGAGTTGAGGCAAGAGGATCATCGTGAGTTGGAGGCCTTCCTGGGCTACATAGGGAGACTCTCAAAAAAACAAAACAAAAGGGGCCTGGGATATAGCTCCATGTGAAATCCCTGGGTTCTATCACCAGTGCCACAAAAAAAGAAAAAAAAAAAAAAATTCACTATGACAATGTCTCTGCTAATTGTTTAAATGGAATAAATAAGTATATTTAGCTATAAAGTAATGAGATTTAGAAATCCTAAATCATTATTTTATATAATTATGTAAAAGAGAACAGCTCACTAAATTAAATCTTTCCATTGCACCTTCTCTAGGTATTATATTATGAACTACTTGCAATTCGAGAAGCCTGCATCAGTTTGGAGAAAGACTATCAACCTGGAATAACCTACATTGTGGTTCAGAAGAGACATCATACTCGATTATTTTGTGCTGATAGGACTGAAAGGGTAACCTTGTATCTGTTATACTGCTATTCTAAGTTTATCCAACATAGTTCATAAAGCACATAGCAAGGGCCTTCTGCCAATAAAGGGTTTCCAAAATACAGTAATGGATTACAGTAAGTACATTATGAATATAGAAGTATCAGAATAGACCAGGCATGGTGGTACACATCTATAATCCTAGCATTTGGAAGGCTGGGGCAGAGGTCACTACAGGTTCAAGGCTGGGTTGGGCTATATAATGTGTTCAATACCAGCCTGG